GGAACGTTATTAAAGACTTGAAAATTATAATACGCGGAACGAATCGTATTAATTCATATACCCCTTACACGATCCCGCAAATTGGTGACCCCGACGTGATCGTGAAAAGTGGTGTTAATGTGGTAGATTGGTGTTTATTCGTCTTTCAAGTTTCCGTGGACTCGGGTGTGTGTCGCGCCGCGTGAGTTCGGGCGATTCGTTCATTAATTATTACCGTATACGGACATTGTTTGAACATTTAAAGACATTTTCTAGACGTTAAGGAATAAATATTTTTACGATTAGTGTTGTACAATCGATATTAGTTGAGACAATGGAGACTAACTCGGCAGCAACCGTTTCCACTGCGTCTTCAATAGATCGTGTCGCGGTACGGATCCCAGATTTCTGTCCCGCTGATCCAGAGATGTGGTTTTGCATGATCGAACGAAGCTTTGAGGCGTCTGGTGTGTCGGTGGAAAAAACTAAATTCGGGTATATACTAGGCGCGTTAGACCCGCGTTACGCAGCAGAAGTGCGTGACATTATCGTAGATCCGCCTGACAGTGAACCCTATCAAAAGCTCAAGTCCGAGCTGATTCGTCGGTTAAGTTCGTCGCAAGAGCAGAAGACACGCAGATTATTGGAACTCGAGGAAATGGGTGACAGGAAGCCATCTCAATTTCTTAGACACCTGCGCGGATTAGCAGGTAATGCGGTATCCGACGCGGTTTTACGGACCCTTTGGATGGGTCGCCTACCCACCAGTATGCAGGTAATCTTGGCGACACAGAAGGATGTCGAGCTAAACCTTGTAGCGGATCTAGCCGATGCTATTGCGGATACACTGTCCCCTCGTACCATGATCGCCGAGGCAGCTCCGTCATCTAACAAGTCCAATCAGGATCGTCAGGATTTGGAGGCCTTAATAAATACGAAAATGGCCCAATTAACGGTGTCTTTAAGGCAGGAAATATTAGCTATGCGCCAAGAATTCGGCAATGACGAACGGTTTTCACGCAGATCTGGAAATCGTCGATCTGGTTCAAATATGCGGTCGCGATCTCGTTCAGCCGCTCGGCGCCGTCATGATAGTGCGGGTTTATGCTGGTACCATAACAGATTCGGTAATAAGGCGAACAAATGTATTCAACCATGCACGTGGAGCGGACCTGCCGTGGGAAACGACCAGGGCAGTCGTTAATGGCGGCAGCCGATCCTTGCCCTGTGTCTGGCCGCCTTTTTGTTACGGATCTTGTAACTAGAATTCAATTTTTAATCGATACTGGAGCGGACCTTTGTGTTTTTCCGCGTCGTTTAATGCACGGACATCATGAGAAGTCTTCTTATGAGTTAGCTGCTGCGAACGGTACAGTCATTAATACATACGGCACCACGACACTCACGTTGAATTTGGGTTTGCGCCGCGAATTCATATGGAGATTCGTCATTGCGGATGTCTCCAAGCCCATCATCGGAGTGGATTTCTTGTCCCACTTCGATTTGATGGTAGACATCCGGAATCAGCAATTGGTGGATCGGACAACTTCATTAACTACCCGAGGTCGATCGACAGGCTCAACGAGAGGTTCAATTAAAACTGTAAGTGGCAATTCAATCTTTCATCAACTTCTTGCAACGATGCCAGAGATTACGAGGCCAGGAGGTGTGCCGGTTGAAATCAAACATTCAACAATGCATTTCATCTCGAGACCTTCCCCGGACCACCGGTTTCATGCAAACCGCGACGTCTTGCACCTGGCAAGCTTAAGGCAGCGAAGGAAGAATTCCAGGTTATGATGAAGCTGGGAATAGTTCGTCCTTCGAAGAGTTCTTGGTCATCTCCACTTCATATGGTTCCCAAAAAAGGTGCTGATGAGTGGAGAATGTGCGGAGATTACCGTGCACTTAATGCACGAACCGTACCTGATCGTTACCCAGTTCGACACATTCAAGATTTTGCACAAGCTTTGCGGGGTAAGAAAATATTCTCCACTATTGACTTAGTTCGAGCCTATAATCAAATTCCTGTCGCCCCGGAAGATGTGCCGAAAACTGCCATTACGACACCATTCAGTTTATTTGAATTTCCTTTTATGTCATTCGGACTTCGAAATGCCGCGCAAACTTTCCAACGGTTTATAGACGGAGTGCTCCGAGAATTCGATTTTTGTTTTCCATATATCGACGATATTTTAGTAGCATCAGACTCACCGGAAGAACATCTTCATCATTTGAAGATCCTATTCAACCGTTTGAAGGAATTTGGAATTATCATTAATTCAAGCAAGTGCCATTTCGGAAAACTCCAGGTCAAGTTTCTTGGGTACTTGGTGTCTGAAAAAGGCACGCAGCCGCTACCTGACAGAACCGAAGTCATTAAAGCGTACCCTTTTATTTACTTTTTTAATTAATTATCGAGAATTACTTGCAATTTATCTGGCCATCAAGCAGTTTAGACATATGGTTGAGGGCCGAACGTTTACTATATTTACCGATCATAAACCAATTACTTTCGCTTTTAAACAAAAGATCGATCATTGTTCCCCAAGATAGTTTAGATACTTGGATTTTATAGCGCAGTTTTCTACTGATATTCAACATATTGCTGGAAAAGATAATGTTGTCGCTGACGCATTGTCTCGAATTGAAGAACTTAACGATAATTTGGACTTTGAGACTTTGGCTAATTCGCAGTTGCAAGATAGAGAGATTCAAGACCATCTAAACGAAGAATCATCGTTGCAATTAAAAAAACTCGTGATTCCCGGAACGTCCACAGAGATTTTCTGTGATATTTCTACCAATGTAGCTAGACCGTTTGTTACACAACCATTTCGTCGCAGGGCGTTTAAAATCGTTCACGGTTTAGCGCATTCTGGAGTCAAAGCGACGATCAAACTCATGACTCAACGTTATGTTTGGCCGTCAATTAGAAAAGACGTTCGAGAGTGGACACAGAGTTGTATCCAATGCCAGAAGACGAAAATATCGAGACATGTGGTTTCACCAGCGGGTTCTTTCGATCCTCCTACCGCAAGATTTCAGCACGTGCATGTGGACATTGTTGTACTACCTGTCTCAGAGGGTTACTGATATTGTCTGACCTGTGTTGACAGATTTACCCGTTGGCCGGAAGCTTTTCCGTTGCCTGATCAGGAGGCCGCAACAGTGGCCCGAGCATTTTATGAGGGTTGGATCGTCCGTTTCGGAGCGCCTCTTCGGATTACTACTGACCAGGGCCGTCAATTTGAGTCCAAGCTTTTTACATGTTTGAATATTGCGACAGGTACCGCACATTATAGAACAACAGCAT